GCATCATGTTCTGCACAGAGATGTGATAGTCCAGGCGATTCTTCACCTCCTTGTATACTCTGTGCAGCCGTTCCCGGTAAGTAAGTTCCAGTGCCATAGCAATGTTATTCTGAAGCAAGATTAAGAATTGATGAAAAATTTGGCATCACTGAAGGATCACTTCCACTTTGCAGATTCTGTTGGTTAGAATACCCCAACACCACTTTCTTGTATTTTATGCAAAATTATTTAATACGAATAGGTAAGAGATGTATGTGGTAAATAAATTCTAATAGCATATGGTAAAAATATACTTAAAAGTACATATAGTGAGTTTCCTCTAGTCCGCCCACAGGCCACCATCTTCCTGAATTTCTTGCATTCCCTCCCAGAAATATTCAATAAACAAAATACAGGTATAGGCAGGCACGCACATATATACACGCACACACATCACTTTTACTAATTATAACATCTAGACCCACAATTTTAAGTTACATTGAATTCTACTATACTGGGGTCCCATAATCCAGAGTTTAACTAAGCTCTATTAATACATTAGATCGCTTCCAATTCTACCAGAAATAATGCTGTATCTGTTGTATATGTCTTTTCACTATGTGTAAATATTTGCTGTAAATGGGGCACCTGGGTGGCTCAGTCATCAGGCGTCTGCCTTCAGCTCAGGTCATGATCCCAGGATCCTGGGATGGAGCCCCACATCTGGCTCCCTGCTCAGCGGGGAGTCTACTTCTCCCTCTGCCCCTCCCCCTGCTCGTGCTCACTTCCTCGCTTGCTCTCTCTAATAAAATCTTTAAATAAGTAAATAAAAAATAAAGTTAACAAAAAAAAATACTTGCTGTAATAACATGTTGAGTACCTACTATATTCTAAAAACTGTGTGTCAATTCAGTTGTCTTATAATCATACCATGGGATAGTTACTATTATTATATCCACTTTATAGCAAAGAAACTGAAGCAGAAGGAACTTGTCCAAGGGTACAGAGCTAATAAATTGTGAAGCCAAGATCCAAATACAAGGAGCCAAGCTATAAAGCCCATGCTGTTAAACTGTGATTAATACTGTCACATTCCACATAAAGTTGTACTATTTCATTCTCCTACCACCAACACAAATGCCTATCACTTCAAACCCTCACCAATGATATTTATAAAACCTTTTACTCTCTATTCTCATAAGCAGAAAAAAACCCAGGAATTTTAACGTCATTATTAAACATTTACGTATGAACATTTACATATTTAGAAACCATTTACATTTATTTATGAATGGTCTGTGTCCTATGCCTAGTTTTCTACTGGGATGTTGGTCTCTCCTAAGGTAACTATCCTTTTGTGTTACATGGAACGCACATCTTCTTCCCAGTTTGTCGTTTAACTTTATGCTCATTTTTACACGTAAAACTTTCATGAGATCAATTTAACAACTTTTCCTCTTATAGTTTCTGGATTTTTTAAATTTTTATTTTTTTTCTCTTCCAAGTTTTTATTTAAATTCCAGTTAGTTAACAGTGTAATATTAGTTTCAGGTGTAGAATATAGCGATTCAACACTTCCATACAACATCCAGTGCTCATCATAGCAAGTGCCTTCCTTAATTCCCATCACCTATTTCACCCATCCCCCACCCACCTCCCCTCTGGTAACCATCAGTTTGTTACCTACAGCTAAGAGTCTGTTTCTTGGTTTGCCTCTCTTTTTTGTCCTCCATGTTCATTTGTTTTGTTTCTTAAATTCCACGAGTGAAATCTTTCTCTGACTTATTTCACTTAGCATAATACTCTCTAGCTCTGGTAACCATCAGTTTGTTATCTACAGTTAAGAGTCTGTTTCCTGGTTTGCCTCTCTTTTTTTCCCCCATGTTCATTTTTTTGTTTCTTAAATTCCATGAGTGAAATCTTTCTCTGACTTATTTCACTTAGCATAATACTCTCTAGCTCCATCCATGTTATTGCAAATGGCAAGGTTTCATTTCTTTCTGATGACTCAGCAGTACTCTCGTGTGTGTGTGTGTGTGTGTGTGTGTGTGTGTGTGTGTGTGTGTGTGTGTGTATGAACACATCTTGATCCATGGAATTTTTAAAAATTGAGGTGTAATTTAAAATTCTTATAAACTGAGGTATAATCTCAGGTGCTTAACATAGATTCGATATTTCATATACATTGTGAAACCACCAAAGTCTAGTTAACGTCTGTCACCATACACAAGTTTCTAAATTTTGTTATCTTTATTAGAAAGGCCTTGTCAACTCCAAAGGTATTTTTTTGTGTTCTTTTTTTCTACTTTATGGCTTCTTTTCTTACGAAGATCTTTAATTTGTTTGAAATTTATTTTAGCAGAAAGTCAAAGGTAAGAAACCAACCCTATTTCTACACAAGTGCCCACTTACCTCCCTTTTACAATGGAACTGCCATGTCTACGATGCCTTAGCGTTTAGCTGGATCTCTAGATCTGTGCTGTGCCACCCTGACTTTCTATTCATGCACTGCACCAAACTATTTACAACTCCTTATATCTTTTTTAAAGATTTTTTATTTATTTGACAGAGAGAGACACAGCGAGAGAGGGAACACAAGCAGGGGGAGAGAGGGAGAAGCAGACTTCCCGCTGAGCAGGGAGCCCGATGCAGGGCTCGATTCCAGGACCCTGGGATCATGACCTGAGCCGAAGGCAGACGCTTAACGACTGAGCCACCCAGGCGCCCCAACAACTCCTTATATCTTATAATGGGTTTTCATATTTGGCAGGACTGTTCCTCATTACTTCTCTTTTTCAAAATATTCCTGGTTATTCTTCCTTCCTTCCTTCTTCTTTTTTTTTTTTTTTAACTAATAATCAATTTGTCCAAGTCCCAACATCCCCTCCCTCCAAGCTATAAGTATTTTCCTTCTAGAAATGTGTTAAATGTAGAGATTAAAGTAGGGAGAATTGATGTCTTTATAACACTGAGTCTTCCAATCTAAGAACAAGGTTCTTAGCACCTTACACCTCACAAGCAATGTATGTTTTCCGAAATAAAAACTGCACATTTCTAGTGAAATTTACTTGAGGCCTCTTTTCCTAGACAGTTTATCTTCTTCTGGTGTATTTTCTAACTGACTGTTATTTGTATATGGAAGGGTACTGATTTCACTTATAGATACTAACGGTATACCCAGACACCTGACTGAAATTAAAATTATTTTAATAATTATGTTGATACTCATAGGTTTTCTAGTTATATAATCAGGTAACCTATAACTGCCTTTTCTTTCCTAAATTATATACCTTACTCGTTTTTCTTCTCGAATCCAGCTACTATCTCAATAATAATATCGAATTAATAACAGTGACAGGAATGTTATCTTCTAGTCTGTAATGAGAATCTTTATAGGTCTGCCTGTTAAATAGAGGTATTAATTTCAAGTAGACCTTTAATACCTCTAAATACATTTCTTTAGTCCATTCAGCCTCCTGGTCTTCTTTCTCCTAAATCTCTAGTATCTCCTTGATTACTTTCACTCTCAGCAATGACCTTCATCCTAGTTCACTGAGAAAAGGGGAACAGTAAGAGAACTTCCACAAACTTCTACCCCCACATAAACCAGTCTATCTGAATCCATACTCGTGTACTTTGCCTTCCCTTCTGTAACTGTGGCTGAGCTGTCGACGCCAGCCCCTCCACCTACACGTTATATTCCAAGCCCTCTGGCCTACTGAAGGGCATCACTCCAGCACCTCTCTCCTTTTTTTTTTGCATCAATTTTCCTCTCTCTCTCCTTTTATCAGACACTAACATGTGTAACTATACTTTCCATCCTTTAAAAAATCTCGATTCCTATATCCTCCCCTCCCAGCAATTAATTCCTTTGCCTACCATTAGAGTAAAATGCCTTGACAATTTTGACAGTTGTCTATACTCTGACTCCCATTTCTTCCCTTCCACCTTTTCCTCAACCAACTCCCATTACTTTCCTAAAATAGCCCTTACCAAGGTTACGAATAACCTCCATGTTGCTAAATCCATGGCAAATTCTTAGGCCCTTTATTTCTTGACCATAACTAGGATGACTACACACTGGAACTGTCCTTGTTTTCACTGGTTTTTCTCCACCATGTTCTAGTCTTATAACTTTAAGTACCACCTGTCAGCTTATGACTCCCAAATCTCTAGCCTCGAATTCTGGAATTCTCCCCATAAATTCCAGACTCATATATCCAATAGTCTAAACCTAACAACTCTACTTGGCTAACTTGTAGGCATTTCAAACCAATGCTAAAAGACCAAAGGCTATTTGCAATCAGAGTGACCCTTCAAAAGGCAAGTGAGATCGTATTACTCCTCTGCTTAAAGCTTCAATGATTTTCTTATTCAGAGGATGGATCAGAGTCCACAGAGAAGCCTACAAGACTTGACCCAATCTAGCCCCTGACCACTCTCTACTTGGATTTTTCTTCTCACCCATTCTGCTTCAACTGGTCTCCTTACTATTCCTTGACTATACCAAGTAAGCTTCCAGGTTTAGGGCCCTTGAGATTTTTCTTCCCTCTGCTAAAATACTATTTCCCCACAAGTCCACATAGCTTGCAAAAAACACTTCAGGAGTCTGTTCAAGTAATGCATTAGAGGCCTTTCAGACTGCCTAATAAAAATTAACTCCCTTCTTCTAAAATCTCTTTTCCTTTCCTAGTTTGTTGTTCTACATAGCATTTATTACCACTGACATTCCTATCAGCTCAATTATTTTTTTTCTGTGCTTCTCTCAACCCCTGGCTAGAAGACAGACTTTCTTTTATTCCCAAACACCTGCCTTGACCAGAGTCTCCACACAGGAAAAGCTCAATCAATAGTAATTAAATATTTCATAAATAAGTAAAAACATAAAGACTACCATCTGATTCTTTTTTTTTTTTTTTAAGATTTTATTTATTTATTTGACAGAGAGAATGAGAGAGAGAGAGCACATGAGAGGGGGGAGGGTCAGAGGGAGAAGCAGGCTCCCTGCCGAGCAGGGAGCCCGACGCGGGACTCGATCCAGGGACTCCAGGATCATGACCTGAGCCGAAAGCAGTCGCTTAACCAACTGAGCCACCCAGGCGCCCCCCATCTGATTCTTATTAAAGAGCTACATCTTCAAAAGTCAGATTTTGTGTGTACATATCATGTATGAGATAGGAAACATTCTCTGGTTGAAATCTAAATATGTATGGAAAGAGGTTTTAAAGTTTCCTGAGGTTTTCAAACATTTATGTGCTTAAGAATCTTTAGGGATCAGTTTTTAAAAATATGGATTCTTAGATAGCTCCTAACAGAGGTTCTGATTGCAGAAGTCTTGGACTGGGTCCATAAACCTGCACCAAAGAGGACAGATACACGTGGTACTAAGACCACACTAAGAAATACTGGCCTAGATCTTTACCATTTCAGATACTTTACCTCAGCATGTCATTTTTCATTTCATATGTGCTTCTGTAACATAAAATTTCAATATAAGGGCATCTCACTGTAAATACCAGGCATGAAGCAGGGGCTCAAAGTCAACAACAATGTGATTCTTAAAACAAAAAATACTTGAGCATATTCCTAAAAATGTTTCAGAAATGAAGTATTTTAGAATCTAATGATGCCTTGACCATGGTAAAAAGCTTTACAGCTATCTGAATTTGCTTTGTGAATTGCAATACAAGGTCTCAGATTTCCTCATAGCAAGTATATCAAGTTAAGATTTCCTCATAGCAAGCATACATGAACCACAGAGCATGTATTTCACCTATGGCCTTAGATAGTGAGTACCATTTTTTAGTCAGCTGTAATTTAATGACTACTTTCCTTCTGTGTGGATCCAACATATGTTCTTTTATTAACTTTTACTCTAATTTTAGAATAACTATTTATCCACTTGATAGATATTAAATATATAAATAGCTAACTGCCAGCCCCACCCGAATCTCTTTTCTAAATAAAATATGCTCAACATATTCAACCATTCCTCATAAAATTCTAAATGCACACAAATGAGTAACTTTATTTTCCTTAGAAGGTTCTGAAACCTACCCTCTGGACATCAAAAAGGTAATGACGCTTGTGAACCAGGGCCTGCTGTGACTTCTCCATATCAATTGCATCCTGGATTTGTTTGATGGAAGCCTGCTTCACCTCTTCTAGTTGGGCAATTTTTTGCTGCAATTTTGATTTACAACAAAGATCAGCAAAAGCATAAAGGATAACAAAAACAGCTTCATTCTATGCTTCCTCAAAGTTACAGTCCTCATTTGTGAAAACACCCCTCAAGAAACATATACACATACAGGGAGAAATGCACAAATCCTTAAAAATAATTGCTCATAATAGCTACGCAATATCTTGTCCAATGAACATAACTATGGAAAAACTGGACAAAGTTTTGTAGATTTAAAAAAATTTATCTCTAATCAGTGACCAACATTAACACTTATAATTTTAATCATTGTAATTAGATTCATTTCTATATGCTTGTCCCCTAACATTAACATCAGAAACATCACTTGATGGTACTGATGCTTTTAACACAGTCTAAAATGAGAAATCAGGTTTACAGTTCTTACCTCATTGAGTTTATCAGCAAATTCTCCAATAGAGGCACCATATTTTTTAACTACATAGATAAGCAACCCTATTGTTGATATGGCAGAGAAGGTCTCTGCAGTAATCACATATATTTCTTTGGACAGAAAATATAGGATAAGTCCGGTTCCAAGTACATAGGGTCCTAAAAGAAGGAAAAGTTATTTTATGATGGATACATTATATCTGAAAGGAAAGACAGAAAGTTCTACATTTGATTAGTTGAAGATGTTATATAATGATTTAAAGTAGCTGGATTTATAAATAATCCCGCACTGAGGAGCAGTATGGTAGCGCTGGAAAAAAAACAAGGATCTGGACTCCAGGAAATCTGACTCTGCAACACAGAAGAAACTGAGCAATATAAATTATCTCTGAGTTTAGTTTCCTCGTTTGTAAAATGGGAACAGTACTTTCTTCACAGGATAGAGGAAACTGAGAAATTATGTAGAGTGCCTAGCACAACTGCTTAAGTAATTTGTGCAGCAAAATATACTATTTATTGAATGGGAATACTGGTCAGGATAAAATTTATCCACTCCTGCCTATTTTTATTGAATAGGAACCTGACACTGGAAATAAGCAAGCAAGCAATCAAACAAAAAAACCCTAATAGAAAGTAGTATGTATGTAAAAGGATTTCAATATCAGGATTCTCAATTACTATAGTATCTATAGTACTATAGTTATAATGCTTCAAATACAGCTATCTTTTTCTTTAATACCAGGCTGTGGGTTCTGAAAGGACACAAAACCATGATGTACATTTCTTTAGGATTTTCTGTTGTGCTTCAGAAGATATTGGCAAGGAAAAAGCTGCCCCCTTAAAGGGCAGCATTTTACAGTGTTTCTGAGCAACACAAGTTACCAAAGGATGTTACGGCATTATTACAAGAATAAAAAGGTTAACAGTCTCAAATGTATTTTATCCAGTTTCCCATAAAAAGTTTCAGCAGCTCTTTTTAAAATTTGCCTCCAATATATAAACTTTAAATTTGAATGTAAATTAAAACTTTCAACTGTGAACTGGCAAAAAAGCCTATCGTAGGTACATTTTTATCTCCCATGGGGATCTGTGGACCCTAATGTTTCTTGCAATTTCCATTACAGAAATGCTATTTTCGGCCACTCCCTGGAGGGTTAAAAAAAAACCCACAACAACCTTGGTTTCCAGTGTTCCCTAGTCACAGCAGTAGCTGGAGCAAGAAAGGCCCCTGGATGCTGTCAAAGAATACTGAATTGGAGAACCTGGGTTTAAGTCCAACCCAGTCACTAAAGAGAGAATAAATCTCTGCAAATTCTTTATTTTCTAGTTATTCTTGGTAATAAAAATCTCCTACAGGACCGCTGTGAGGATTAAATAATATAAGTGAAAGCAGACTGCATTATAAAAATTTAAGATTTCAGAATAGTGTATGCCTTCTTAAAAGAAAAAACTGATAAACATGGCCCAATTTCTGTTTTTATGTATATATACAATAACCTCTATTGTCTTAGCTAGCTTTATTTTAATCCAAAGCTCTTTCCATTACCTGACAATGTATCCTACAATTACTCAATTCTTTACTGTCTATCCTATGACAGAATGTGTGTTCCGTGATGGCAGCCACCTCAGCTTGCCACTGTATGCCCAGAAGAGTACCTGGCACAGAGCTGGCATTCAGTGGATGTGGTGTATCAACAAATGGAGACAATACTATAAAGTTAAAATCCCAACCACGTTTACTTCAAAGACAAGTCACAACTGTTCCACTGAATTACTTCCACAATTTACTTTATTGACTTCATTTCGTGTATATGTGGAAGAGGTAAGAGACCACTAAAATCCTAGGTAAACGTAAACTATACCATCTAAACATACTATCAAACACTGGGCAAATGCTTACCTGTTACGCCAGTTTTGGGATAAAGGAACTGGAAGAATTCTTCGGGAATCAGCCCCAAACGAACTTTTCCTCCATGTTCAGGAAGAGGTGGTACAGGTGCAAGACTTGGCCGCCCTGTGTGGAAGATCCTTGTTGCCTGCAATATCCTAAGGGCAGCAATGACACAAAATTAAAGGCTATTCTGCAGGTCCTAAAGGTCATCTATCTAGCACTTTGTATGTTTACTATTAGAATTACAACATATAAGAACGTAGACTTTAAAGCCAAATTATCTGGGTTTAAATCCTAGACCAGCCACTTGACTTTGAGCAAGTAGATTAAGCTTTTGTAACTGCAAATTTCTCTAGGTAAAATGAGAATAAAGAATATGATTTTATAGGGCTGCTGTGAGGATTTTTGCTTCGAATGGTGCTAAGCATACAGTAAAGTTCCATGTAAGCAATTAGCAATTAAATCTCCACTGTGTTGTGAGCACCTTGATGGCCAGAACTTTGACTTTTTTGGTTATTCTCTGTGACAGGGTGCTAACCAACCACTGTGTGAAACAGGCCTTTTCAGTGTTGGATAGCTCTAATTATGTTCATCTTTAAACTGAACTGCTGGTTACATACTTGAAACTGATCTATCCATTAGTTCTAATTTTATTTTTCTATGTAACATACATTATGCCCATGTATCTGGGTTAAACATCTCAGTTCCCTCACAATCCTGACTGTCCACAAGGAGCCCTCTGGTTCTGTTTACTACAGTGAGGTATACAGGACCGAAGATAATACTCTAAATACAGCTTCACCAATTCATTCATCCTACAAATATTGAGAACTTGCTAATGCCATTACTGAGCTTGAATTATTGTACCATGGATTTGTAAACTATTCTCATATTCCAACAGCCCAAGACTGCATTTTTAGCAGTTACAGCATAGTATCTCATTAAAATCCTGATGAAACAAAATCCTCTAGTCTTTTTTATGTATGCTGTCAAGCTCAGTCTCCTTCAAATTCTCAGTATGTTTTTGTCCCACACATCCCCATTCTACCTCTATCCCTTTACAATGTAAAAGTTTGTATTATTTCATTGATTTTGGCTTCACGCTTTTATCTTTTGAAGATTATTTCTGCCTCCCAATGTATTACCTAGCCTACTGACTTTTTTGAGAATGATGCTCAAGATTCTTTCATTTAAATCAGGATTTCTCAACCTCATCAGTATAGACATTTTTTTGTTGCTGTGGAAGGCTGTTCTGTGCACTGTAGAGTGATTAGCAGCATCCCCACGGCCTTTATGCCATTAACTGCCAGTCAGCATCCCCCCCTCCCACCCAGTGGTGACAACCAAAAATGTCTTCAGACATTGCCACATGTCCCCTGGAGGGCAATACTACTCCAGGATGAGAACCCCTGATTTATTTATTCTTTTTATTTTTATTATTTTTATAAAGATTTTTATTTATTTGACACAGAGAGAGAGAACACAAGCAGGGGGAGTGGCAGGCAGAGGGAGAGGGAGCAGGGGCAGGGAGCCTGATGCGGGGCTTGATCCCAGGACCCTGGGATCACGACCTGAGCCAAAGGCAAACACTTAACCGACTGAGCCCCCCAGGCACCCCTTTGTTTTTATTTTTTAGGTAGGTTCCGTGCCCAATGTGGAGCCCAACATGGGGCTTGAACTCAAGACCCTGAGATCAAGACCTGAGCTGAGATCAAGAGTTGGACGCTCAACCAACGGAGCCACCCAGGCGCTCCAAGAACCACTGATTTAAATCACAGAACTAGAGAACTTGCTTTAGGCCAACTCAAATCCTCTCCTGAACTGGCTGTTTTAGTTCAAGCCCTCTTCATCTCTGGCCTAAACTACTTAATCCAAAACCTGGTCTCTCTGCTTCTCAACAAATACCCCTTTAAACCCAACCCTCTACACTTGTACCAATGTTTTTAAAATGCAAATTTGACTTTAAAGCTCTTCAACAGGTTCTCCTGCCTACACAAAACTCCTTAACATAGTATACATGATTCGGAACCTATCAGATCTTCTATCCTCTTCCTTCATTCTCCTATCCTCTAGCCACATGGAACTACTTACAGCTCTCAAAAACAAACAAAAAAAACAAACAACATGCCTCATGCTGCTCCTTCTGCCTGGAATGGCTTTCACTAAATGGCTGCCAACCCCAACAGCCTTCAGAACATCTCGAGCATATCCTTTTTATTAAAGGCCTCCCCAATCTTACATTCACCCTTATGTCAGGTGCTGGGAGCATAGCAACAGACAAGTTCCCAGCCTTCACATTCCAGTGGGGTTGTAGAAAATGTGTGTGTGTATGTCCATACACAATTCCAGGCTGCTCAAAGTCTATGAAGAAAAATGGGGTAAGGTAAGGAGCTAGGGAGCAATGGAATGGGAAAAAGTTTTTTGATAGGTCAGACGACATTTGAGTCAGTGACCTGGGGAAAAGAGAGGAGAGCAAGTACAAAGATCCTGAGGCAACAATAAGCTTTTCACAGCAACAACAAGGAAGCCAGCATGGCTAGAGCGAGCTTAAAGAGAATATAAGGAGATAAATTAAGAGGTAGGAGGAGATCAATTCATGTTGGGCCTTCTGGGTTATGGTAACTTTGGATTTTATTTCAGTGGCATGAGGAGCTCTGGAGGGTTTTGCTGGGGTGGGGGATGGGGGGCCTCAAGTAATCCCTAAGTCTACTAGGAGAATGGGCTATAACGGGACAAGAATAGAGATGCAAGGAGACTAGTTAAGAGACTACTGAAATAGACCAGGTGAAAGTTGATGGTGGTTCACACTTCAGTAGCAGTGGTAGTGGAAGAATGGTTAGAAGTCCAGATATAATTTGGCGGAAGAGCCTTGCTCTTCTCCATATATATATGGAAGGTGAAACAGAAATCAAGTATGTTCCTTACATCTTACATATGTAATTATTTATTTATGACTTCTATTAAAATGGTTTACCTGATTGTATGGAATCTTTTTTCTCTGGTAAGTTGGAAGCGATTGCAGCCTCACTTTATTGCACATAAAAATTAATTACAGGTGGATTAAAAGCCATTTTTTCAAGGCAAAAATAGTTGTCAAATTTTGGCAAGATTTAGGGCTAAGTCTGGATGCAAAAAGATAAATTCCAAAGAAAACTAACATGATTTATGAAACATTAAAAACAGATGTCAACACTTATCACATACTATGTATTATAATATGGAATGCTGTTTTTAGAGTTTTACAGGAATTAAGTCTTAGTTCTTCTAACCATAATATACTACTACCTCCATTTTGTAGAGGAGGAAACTGAGATCACACAGCTTGTAGTGGAGGAACCAGGTATAACTCTAGCTTTAGAGTCTTTGCTCTAAAGCACTATTCTATAGCTGCCTCCTCTCAGAGACTGAGCTCCACGAAAACAGGTTGGCCTTACTTATTTTTCTATCTTTTGTCATGTAAGTGGCAAGATAAATATTTACTGAATCAATGAATGATTTCTCTGACTCTTATGATCTGGCAGTAAAAGTCGGAATCTGGGAGAAAGACTAAAAATAACATGCTTCATTATTTTATTTAATAAAACTTGCTTTTGGGTATGCAATCTAGAAACTCCCGATTCCCGCTGTGGCAGCTGGCAGCTAAGTCCAGATGAAGGTCACAAGGGAAAGGGGCGGGGCTTAGAAGACACCAAAACCAGCTTCTAGTTTAGTTAGAACACATCACTTACCCTCTTAGTCTTTGCCATGAGATGATAACACAATGTTCCAGACAGTTACAGGAGCACCAGTGTTTGAATGAAGCTTTAAGCCTTTCAAAATTACCTAAAGAAAGGTAATTTCGGGCCTAAAGCTAAGAGGGGGTTACAGAGAAGTGAAATGAGGTGATAAAACAATGACGAAGGCAGTATTACACCCCTCTTACTTACCCTGGACCAAGGAGGGCTGCGTTCTTCAGACAGGGGGCTGCACACAAACAAGGCGCAGGTCAGCAAGGTCAAGGTGAAATCTGGACTGTCCCTTCCTTGGTCCCCGCGGGGCCCGCCCACTAAGGCCATGCACCCCTCTTTCCAGTCTCCCAAGACCCCCACGCGCGCCCCTAGTGAGCGGCGCAATTCATTCCCCACTCGGGGCCAAGTCTTGCTGCGCCTTCCTACACCTCGTTTCCTCCCACCCCCTCCAGTAACCCTAGACGCACTCCTTTGCAATCACTCTGATAGCCCGGACTAGGATGTAGATAGGTTGTCCGGGATGTAGATAGGTTACCCGCTGCGGCGGCCGCAGAAAAAACCACCCGGGACAGCATGGTCAACCAGGGTCCGCACAGTAGGCTCTGCGTCCCAGTGACCCGGGTAAGAGGCTCTGTCAGGGACGGGAGCAAGATGGTCGCTCACAACTCTCGCGAGAAGAGAACATTGCGCCCTCTGTCCACTGACTTTGCCTCGAATTCTTTTTCTCGCGATAAGAGGCACTGAACTCGGAGAACTTTTTGCCGGAGGGCCGCAGCTGACCCAGGAACGGAACCGTAGAAGCAATTCTCGCGAGATGTAGAGTGGCCGTAGCCTGTGGAGAGGGGCGGAGGCCCAGAGGGGCACCACGTGGGGCTGCCGGAGCTGAATCTCGGGCGGCCGTCCAGTTTGGGTCTAGGTTGGAGTTGGAACCGTGGAGATGCGGAAGGAAACCCCGCCCCCCCTAGTGCCCCCGGCGGTCCGCGAGTGGAACCTTCCCCCTAATGCGCCCGCCTGTATGGAACGTCAGTTGGAGGCTGCGCGGTATCGGTCCGGTGAGCCGAGATCCCGGGCCTGGGCGCTCCCTCACCCTGGCTCGGGATGCCCTTTCCCAGGACTGGCCTTTCCAGCCCGCCCCCGCCCCGCATGCCTTCCTGACCCCTGCCTCGCGTCGCTTAGTTCAGTCCCCACCTTTGCCCCGGGTTCTTGAGCTCAGATCCAGACTCGGCCCGCGTGCTGTTCAGTGCGGTCACCATGGAGACGAGCCCTTTCACTCCTCCCGCGCTGAGGGCTTGTACTTCCTTTAGATGGGGCTCTCCTGCTCGGGGCCTCCAGCCTGAGTGGCCGCTGCTGGGCTGGCTCCCTCTGGCTGTTCAAGGACCCTTGTGCAGCCCCCAACGAAGGCTTCTGCTCCGCTGGAGTCCAGACGGAGGCCGGAGTGGCTGACCTCACCTGGGTTGGGGACAGAGGTATCCTAGTGGCTTCCGATTCAGGTGAGTCACTTTCTCCACAACCCCACAGGTGGAATGGAGCATGGGATACAGATCGGACCGTGTTCAATCTTTATTGTCCCATACTCAGTGCTTGGGGAGCTTGAGGGTGTTGGCCCGAAGGAGAGCTCTGGTGTAGCGGGAAAATACCTTTCCGAGATTCTAAATTGCCTGGTGGGAATTTCTAACAAAATTAAGAAGTGGATTAGAACCGTTTTTCTTCCCTATAACCTTCCCAGTATCCCCCCTCAACCCAGACCAAGGATAATCTTGATCTTAAAGATGATGCTTAAGTCAGTCTGTGCTTCTTTCCATTTCCTCCCGTTTTCTTCTTTTTAAATGTCTTCATTCTGCTTTGTTTGTTTTGAAAGCCAGGTTCAGCAATGGAGTCTTTGGAGTTAAAAAAATCAGTATTTGGATATTGGCAGGCATTGCATGGAAGGATAAAAGTGGGACATTAAAGATTGAGCATCTCTGACAGTTGAGCTTCAGCACAACATATTCAAGACAACTTTTGGGGGTTCTCTGTACTTAACCTGTCACTGTGCAAGACATTCAGTAATTCACAACATTTGTGAAGAAGCTGTAAGGCATTTATTCAAATTGTTCAACAAATACTAATGTCCAAGCAATTGGGAAGATTTAACCACACTGAACTGTGTACTACACAGATTGTTGAGACTTTAATCCTTGTCTCTTGGGACTTATTTTCCAGTGTTTTCTCATGGAAGCCAGATAATGGGTTTTGCCAGCCATTCCATCTTTCTCTGTCTTTCTAGAAGCTTTCCCTGGCCTAATTGTCTGGACTGTTATTAAGAAAACAGTCATGCCAGCATAAAGCCAGATGGCTTGGAAATTAGCTAAATCCTTTAGTGATAATGGGTTTTGCTTTTATAGAAATAGCTTACTTTGTTAGTTTAGTGACCATGGACTCACTTGAATCCTAGAAGTGAATTACTGTCTTGGTGTAATCCACACTCATTTCCCTCTACCTTCTCCCCACTCCCAACAGGTGCTGTTGAATTGTGGGAGCTGGATGAGAACGAGACACTCATTGTCAGCAAGTTCTGCAAGTATGAGCATGATGACATTGTGTCTACAGTCAGTGTCCTGAGCTCTGGCACACAAGCTGTTAGCGGTAGCAAAGACTTCTGGTGGGTCCTTGTGCTCATTGCTCCTGCATTTTATTTTATT